CTGGCGGGGCCGCCGGGCCGGGCGCCGCGGAGGGGGGGCTTGGCGGGCGGCGGCGCGGCCGTGGTGAGGTCGGTGCGGTTGTAGTCCATGCAGAGCGTGTCGGGGCTGCCCTGCTCCGGCAGCCGGTCGCAGCGCATCCTGTCCGGCCAAGCGAAGCCGTATTGGCGCATGAGCGGCGCGCAGCCCGCCTTGGCCCGCTCGCAGACGCTGCGGCAGGGCGGCAGCGGCTTCTTGTAGTCCTCCAGGCAGATGGGGGTGTACATGCTGCAGAGGAAGAAGCGCAGGTCGCTGGAGCACTGGATCTCCACCAGCGGCCAGAACTGGTGCACCTCCAGCCCGGCCTCGTCCTGCGTGTCGTGGTTGAACTGGTTGGGCATGTAGGTGTAGTTGTAGCCGATGCCCTTGCAGAGCGGCACGGTGATCTCCTGGCACGACAGCTCCTTAGCCGACGACGACGACGAAGACGACGACGACGCGGCGGCGGCGGCCGAGGCGGCGGCACAGCCGGCGCGCTGCAGCAGGGCCAGGGCGGCGAGCAGCGGGGTGACGGCCAACAGGTAGCTCCACTCCATGCTGGGCGGCGGGCGGCGGCGGGCCTGGCCGCCTCCCCTCCTCCCGTCCCGCTCCGCGGCCCCGGCAGGTGAGGGGGCGGCCCCGCGGGCGCTGTGCCCGGCGGAGGAGGGGGGGGTGCTCCGCTCAGGGGAGGCCGCTCAGCCGGCCTCGCATGTCTCCGGGCTGCGGGAGAGCTCTTGCGGCCGCGAAGAGAAGTTTCGCTCCCAGCCCCCGCGCGGCGCGGTCAATATGGCCGAGGCGGCCCCGGGACGAGGCGCTGCGCCCCGCGGCGCCGCGCTCCCGCCGCCCCGAGCGCCCGGGCAGCGGCGGAGCCGGTGTAGCGGCGACCGGAGCGGTCCGTCCCGCCGCCCGCAGGAATGCCGCGCTCCGCGGACGGCCGCCAGCCGGGCCGGGCCGCCGCTCCCTCCGCTCCGGTTTTCAGCCGCGGGCGCACCGGCCGCGATCGCGCCACCTGAGCCGCGGGGTTGAGCGCGGCAGCGCCTCCGCGCAACTTCTCGCTCCTCGGCCCCGGCAGCGCCAGTCCGGCCGCCGCGCTCTCATGAATATTTATAGCGAGCGCCGCCGGGCCCCGCCCCCGCCGCCCCGGCCGCCAATCGCTCCAGTCTGGGCGGTGAGAGCGGAGTCGACCCCGGCCCGCCTTAAGGTGGAGCGGCCGGTGGGTCCCGGTGCGGCGTGCCGTGCACGGCCTTTCAGCTGCGGGAACGTTGTGCTTTTTGCGGGCCGTCTCCCCTGAGCGGCAAAGCGCGGTTCTGCTCCGTGAGCTGCTTCTGCTCGCCGCGCGCTTTGCTCCGCGGGGGAGCCGGGGATCGGCAGCGCGGGGCTCTGAGGGGGCGGCTGTTGTCTGACCTCCGCGCTCCGCACGTGCTCCAGGCCGGGCTCAGCGCCCACTGTGCGCGGCTCTGCTGAAGGGCAGCGTTGCCGCTGTGGGGGGGAGAGGGAGAAGTACGCGGCAGTGACACGGGGGTGTCTGAAATTCGGAGTTTCAAACATAAGTGCGCTGCCGCGCCTTCACTGACGTGCCACCGAGCCGTGCGCTGCAGATGCGCGCCCGCAGCAGCGCCACACGCGCGCTGCTCCCGTCGCGTCCCGGCAGGTGAACGGCCGCCAGCTGCCCGCCCTGCGGCTGCTGCAACGCTCCCGCACGGCTCGAGCGGCACCCGGGGCAGCAGCTCCCAGCCGATGGGGCTCAGGCGGGTGAGCGCCGTGCGGGGCCAACAGCCGCCTCCCTCCTGCTGCGCCCGGGCTGAGATCGACGTCTCCTCTCCCTCCTCCTCCCCCATCCCTCCCCGCGCATTGGCGTCGCTGCCTTCCGGACCACCTTAAGGGCCGGTGCGCGGCGGGGCCGTCCCGGGGGGTTGCCGTCCGCCCAGGCCGGGCCGTTTGTTTGTTAATTGCGGCGCTGTTGCGCTTCGCGCTCGCGTGGAGCTCCCGCTGCGGCCGTAATGACTGCGAGCGCGGGAACGCGCCGCGCTGGGGCCGGAGGAGCGGGGCGAGAGGGGGGGCGGGAAGGAGGGATAGCGCTGCCCGAAGTTTGCTGCTTCTGACGGCGGAATCCTCCGCCGCCCCTTTCTCCTCCCCATGTAAATGGACGCGCAGATCTCCCGGCGAGGAGGAAATGGGCAATAACGAAGCGATAAACGCGTTCACTGTGTAATCATCGCGGCAATTTACAGAACTGTTCTCTTCGCCCCCAGCCCACCTGAGGGGAGCGATGGCGCTCGGACGTGACACGGAACTGTTGAGGACGTGGCAGCGCGCTGCTGTGTTTGTCAGTTCCAGCCTGTGAAATCAATCGTATACACGTATTTGGTCAGAACTTCTCCCAGAGCAGCGTACGGTTCTCTGAGCGCTCAGTTAGAACGGCCGGTTCCCTGCTGTAAGGTGCTGGGAGACCGAACAGCGCCCAGCGAGTGGAAAACCTGTCCTGTGCTGTGCTTGGGACACGGAGAGCAGCGGGCGGGACGGCGCTGTGAGCCGTGCTTCATTTCGAGAGCTCTGCAGAACGGAGCCAGTCTGGTCAGCAGAGCCGGGCGAGCCCGTAAATTACCTCTGTCAGGCTCCTGTTGCCTCTTACAAAGTACCTTTTTACGCTGAACTTAAGCTCTGCACTAGAGACAGCAGATGTGAGGTGATGCTTTCCAAAAGCAACACAGATGCTGTGCAATTTCCATCGTAATATTTCAGCAAGGAAGCTCAGGAGACATGCCGAATGCTGCAGTTTAGAATTACACTGTAACTCTCCCAGAAATAAGAGAATACTAAGTTTCTCAATGGCGCACTTGGCTTCAGTTTTGCTGTCGTTCGTGTATGCTCTTGTTTTCTTACAGTGGGGGAAGAGATGTGGCACGAAGATGCTGAGTCTTGGAGCTGTTCAGTAACAAAGCTGGAACTATGAAACTTTGTAGCAGTTTAGTAATGATGACATACCCAAATTTCCTTGCAAAACCGTGATAATTTCTCGAAATTGTCTTTCAGATATATAAAACAACGCAGCCGTGGGGAGGGCGCTATGCTTTATGTGACTGAAAAGCAGCCTGGATAGCTTACAGCTGTGGAATCACAGCCGTTGTGTGCTCCTCCAGTACTGAGGCTTCACTGAAGCCACTGGAAGCACTGAGATGAAGCAACCAGGGGTCAAGTCTTAAAAATGGATTGTGTGTTTTTCCAGAAAATACAGCAGCTGCTTTTTCTGAAAAACTGTGCTTTGTTATAGTCATACAGATTGCTTTAGAACACTTTGTAGTGGCTTCCAAACAAATGTCCAGTCATCAGACCATGCTGAAATAGAAAACAGGCAGATGAAGGCAAAAACGTTATGGATGCTGCAACTCTTTGCAAACCTGTAGATTTGGCAACGAGTAGTTAATGTTTGGGCAAGTCTTTGTTGCCACAAATGTTCGTGCTTATATGGCACTTTGCTTGTTAAAAAATACAGATCATTAGTTCATAATGAAAAAAATTGCTTTCTGATTTCCACCTGATGTTCCCCAGTAAGTTGTGGTGGGTCACTTGTCTGTGTTGGGTAGGTCAGTGAATGGTGCTTTTATTAAAAAATATATATATATATATTTGAAAGGGGCATTTTACTCAGTGGAAATTGTTCAAATAATCTTGTTAGATTGAAGCCTTGACTGAAGGTAGACCTGCTCGTGCAGGGAATTGAAACTGGGTGATCTTTAAGGTAACTCCCAACCCCAGCTATTATGTGATTCTATGATTCTGAGGCAAATTTCTTGGGTTAAATCAAGAAAGGACTGTCTAAGCTGATCTCCTTCCTGTCACAGGCCACAAAGCTTCATCCAGAGACTGTTTCTGCAAACAGTGATTACGTACAGGACACGGGATTTTGCATGGGCAGCATGTTGAATGGCACCATGAAATGAGAAAGTGGAACTTTGTGAGGGCAGAGTAAAGAGCAAGTAGAGGAAAGAATATCTTTGCAGGTAGGTGCAGTAATGTAAGGTGCGGTTGTGGCATCTTGGTATGCTCAGTTTTTCCCTAAAAAGTACCACCTTTTTTTCCAGTTCAGACTTTTTTCCCACGTGCCATGTGTGGTCCCAAACTGAGCAGTGTGATGAGCAGTCCAAGTATGGAAAGGAATGCATTGATATGCACTTCTGGAAGTCAGCAAAGCAGAAATTATGTCTAAAAATCCAGCTCTATAAACTTGCAAAAAAAAGAAGAAAAAAAACCCCAGGGACCAGAGAGTACAAGTATGCACATATATCCTATGTTTTGAAAGATATTTTTCCTTTCACAGAGGAATTAAATAGCACTGATACACCTTCTGAGGCAGCCTATATTTTATTGTGATTCTTGAGAACTCCTTGTAGACAAGGAGAAGAATGTTTATAACTTTTCAGGGTTGTCAAATCTGATTGTAAATAAGCCCACTACCATGATGGTCATACAGGAGAGAGACTTCAGGGAAAAAGAAAATGCACTGTGCACGATCTGCTGTGTTTGCTACTTCTGGGGTGCAGTGAGGAGGCGAAAGGGAAGGAGGAGAAACTGCTGGAAGATTGCTTTGCTGTCCCTTTACCACAAAGGAGGATGACAAAGTGATTGATCGGTGCTGTGTTCTGAGGATTGCTCCAGCAGTGCAGCAGTGAAGCTGCAGGTTGTGGCTGGAGGATTTTCTGCAGAATAGAAGTGTAGACCTTGATTAGACTCCTTCCTGAGGCTGCTTTGGATGTGTTGGCTTAGCAAGAAGCAGCATGAACAGCAGAATCAGCACAGGAAGTTAGTGGCAGCAGTGGTTTAGCACGAGGACAACATAATTTAAGGTGTATCAAAAGGTTTACCTTTATTCCCTCACACCGTGCAGTCAGGGATTGGGCTGCAATGTCCGTGTAATCATATAATGCCTCATTTTCCTTTGGCAAACCAATGGAGGAGGAAGGAATGAAGAAAACATGGTTTGTGAGGACTATGAATGAAAATAAATGCTCTGAGGGCAATCCTTTTTTCTTTGTTTGTTTTGTTTTCATAGTATTAGTTTTCAATTTTGCCTGTTATTTAGCAAGCTTTACTTACTTTTCACCTGTGCCACAGGTTGTAATACCTCATGATGTGATATGACTTTTGAAGATAAGCTTTTAGTTTTCCTGCATCAGTCAATGTTTTTTGGTGTTCTTTTTTTTTTTTTTTTTTTTTTTCTTTTTTACCATATATGGAGAATAATAAGAATATCAAGCAGTTCAGTATCTACACATGACGTATGTATGGATGTAATGAGTAGTGGTGTCTTTTTCTGACTGCCCAGGTAACCAGCCACTTACTTTCAAGCAACTGCTAGATCATTAGTGTGTAAGTGTACTCCTGAATTGATGTAAGGTTTTATGGATCCAGGCTGGCAAGAAGTTTGGTATCTGGTGCTAATATGAGAATATACTTATAAAAGTCAAAGCTTGTGCCAGTGTAAGTATTGAAGACCTCCAGCATGCCAGTGACATTGGTGGTGATACGATTCTCTCCTTATGCTTTGTCAAAATGTTGTTAATGCTCACACATGCTCAAATGGCACATGCACCATCATTGCTCCCAGTATGGGCTGTGAAGCTCTTCTGATGAATCTTCATTTTTGGGAACTTCAGTTTTACCAATTTGGGCATAAACCCCTGCAAATTTCCTCATAAATGTTCACTGCCAACTGGCTTACCTGACTGAGCTGTCAGGACTGAGTATCCATCTGAGGTGAATGGCTTGCAAATAAGAATTACCATCTTACGATGGTATGGAATGCATGGTTTTCAATGTCAGAATATTCTGGAG